TTATAATTTATATTAGCCTATTTTGTCGTCAATATTTTGTTTTAAGGAGTTAAAATGGCCCTTATCAACCTTGATTTACATATTCTATAACATTATTTTGACAGTTAAAGTTTTGGGCGGTTTTTGGGCGGGTTTTTGTGAGCTTTTGGGCTGGAAATCGTCCATCCAATCTGGCAACACTGGCGGTGTTGGCTTGAGTCTGTTGAATGGTGATTTAACGGTACGTTGTCACCTACTTGGTGAGACTCAATGCTAAGTAAATAAACATCAATGCCCTCGTCTTTTACTCTGTGAATATTAAACTGCAAAAAGATGATTTAAATATGAATGTCCTGCATGTTCATTGGATTACCAGAAATACATAACACAGAGTTTGTGAAAAAAATATTATTCATTATTATTATTGATTCATTTTAGATGTTTACATTTGGAAAAGCTGTGCTTCCAGCATAAACCTGCCCCTGTTGGTTTGGCAGTAGCTCGCTTGCCCTACACAGTTACCTTGTTTCATTTCTTAATTCAAGTTGCATATATTTTGTTCTATTTGTGTTATTCAAGTTATTTATAATAAGTGAAGTGAAGTTTACTGTTAAGTGCACTGATGTCAGACTCACTTTGAATATAAACCTGCCCTTGTTGGTTTGGCAGTAGCTTGCTTGCCCTACACAGTTACCTTGTTTAATTTCTTAATTCAAGTTATATATATTTTGTTTTATTTGTGTTATTTAAGTTATTTATAATAAATAAGTGAAGTTTACTGTTAAGTGCACTGATGTCAGACTCATTTTGAATAATAAAGTTTATTGTTAAATTGTTAAATACCCTGCCTCCACTACATAGGCCTATGTTTGTCACATCATTATAAGTGTTTGATCACCACATTTGAGTTATCATTGCAAAAAATGTGTTTATGTATATATATTCTGTTTATGTAGGCTATATACTGTATTCTATATACAGTACCAGTCAAAAGTTTGGACACACGAATGGGAAGTGTGTCCAAACCTTTGACTATACTGTAATACAGCCTACACATATAGAATATCGGCCGATATATCGGTATCGGTCTTTTTTACTCCCTAATATCGGTATCGGCATCGGCCCCCAAAAAACCCATATCGGTCGGGCTCTAAAAAATATCTTAATTTGTGTTCCGAAGATGAACGAAGGTCTAACAGGTTTGGAACGACATGAGGGTGAGTAATTAATGACAGAATTTTCATTTTTGGGTGAACTATCCCTTAAAGCGGACTCTGGTATGGTTCTCTGGTGTGCACCCGAGTTCGGAAGACAGTGTTCACATCATCCAAACGAACCAAACTTTGACGTCAATCGAACCCGGGTGTGCACCAAAAGTGCTAGTGAGAAACCACCCTTAAATTCATAAAAACATTTTTAAATTGTTGATTTTTTTTTTTGAGTCCATTGTCTGATATTTGTTCTTGTTTAAGTCATACTCAAATGCTCAGTTCATTTTGATCAATTTCTCATAAAACAAGCGTTCTTATCTGAAGTTATTTTGCTTCTCAAGTAAATGTATCATGATTTACGAATCTTTATATATTTGCACTGGAAAACAAGACAAAAGTACTGACAAAGAACATCACTGAGTTTTCATTGTGGGCAGGGTTTGGTAGGGATATCGTGTCAAAGGTCGTTCTAAAGCTACTGAAAGAAATGTGAATGGAGGGGAAGTGCTGTGGCCCTGCAGTATTTGCCGAGCTGCGATGTTTCCAATCTCATTATGATGGCTAGACAGGACTGTGTTGACATTACTTGGGAAATACTATGTCCTAAGAACAGTTTCCATTGCTCATTGAAATTTGTATTCACTTCTCATACACTTATTCGCGTTTAAGAAGCAAGGACTGCTTACTAGTAAATGTAAATACAATACAAGTATTTCTGGTCTTGGATGCTGATTGATCAGTGCAGCATTCCAGACATGCTAAATTGCAATATGAGACACCTGCATCCCTGTGCAGCATGCATATTAAGGATGTGCAAAAAATTTTTATAAATGGACTTGTCTGTGGGTTGAACCATTAGTTGACTAGTCTGTTCAGGAGACCTGTATAATTAGTCTGTATAATTAGATGCACATTTCTTTTGAATGTATGGATGCTATACACAGCCTGTACATTTATTTTGTTTAGCGCTTTTCGCAATTCAAATTGTTTCAAAGCAACTTTAGTGGAAGTCATACTGTTAAGTCTATAATGCTTTACCACAGAGCAAGTTTTAGGGCTGAGCGATACGACAATATAAAGTGATGACGCAAGTGATCCTTTGGATTTAGATCTAGCTATATTGTATTTATAGTTCTGTCTAGCGTATATACGCTTGAGAATCCAAAGTGATTATAGGATTTAGATAATAAGGCATTCAAGATTGTGCTTTATTATGAATATACTGTAGTCACGGCTATAGGGGTTGCAGGAACTTTACTGTTGTCCTGTTTCATGCGATCATTTGTCTCTTTATTTATTTTACATTTACATAATATTTAATAGAGTGAAGTATATTGTAGTATAATATTTTTTCCCCTAATTTTCTTATTAAAATGATTGTGATGTTATTATAAAACATAAATTTCATCTAGTTATTACATCTAGTTATTACATAAATACAGTTGAATTAAATGACTGTTACCAATACTGTGTGTGAAATTAATGTGCTGAATTTTGTCTATGTTTTACAGGTATTATTAATCCCAAACAACCCAAGGAAGCACCCAAGAACTTCACTTTTGACTATTCATACTGGTCACACAGCTCAGTAAGTTTCTGTCACTGAATACATCACATCCTTCAAACAAAACAAAAAAAAGAGCTTTGTCTCAATATCCAATATAAATAGGTGGGGAGAGAGTGTGAGAGGATGAAGCTGCTGCAACATTTTTAATTGTATGAACCTGTCAATAATAATGAATATTTGTATACCACTTTTAAATCAGCTTTACAGAAAGGTATACTATAACAGAAATTCATGCAACAAAAGGTCTATAAAGTCCTTATTACATCAAAAACTTGATTGAAAGCAATGCCACAATGCATTTGTCTTGTGCTGCCAGTGAGTATGACAAAGGTGACTCTGGCAAGGAACAGAAAACGCTAAAAAAAACAATAACTTTAGATGTTTATTCTTGCATGCAACTGCAAACAGTATGCAACACAATATAATCAAGGTGTAAATTTGTTAGCATTTACCAGTAATAACACTCATCTTCTTCAGACATCTGAACACAGAAAACTCCCTCAGAATTTTTTCACTCTGTATTTGCAGGAGGAAGATCCATCCTTTGCATCTCAGAGGAAGGTGTATCAGGACATTGGCGAGGAGATGCTGCTTCATGCTTTCGAGGGCTATAATGTGTGTATTTTTGCTTATGGGCAGACTGGAGCAGGGAAGTCATACACAATGATGGGAAAACAGGATCCGGGGCAGCAAGGCATCATACCACAAGTATGTTTATGCAGACAGCATGAATGAAAGCTTCCAGCAACAAGTAATTTTTTTCTGTTCTCCATTGAAATGAACAAAAGCAATGGAGTCAGTATATATTTGATGTTTAATGTTTAACTACGTAAGATTTAACTATGGATGAAAAAAAAAAAACAGAAACCATGTGACTGAAAAACATTTTAGTCGATTGCTGTACAAAGCTACATTGGGTGATGTAGTCTGAATGACAGGTCTATATTAAAGTTGCACTCAGTCATTTTTTGCTAATTTAAAATTATGTGCATAATTGAATGAACAGCATTTGAGAAATGTCTTGCCATGAGGAATCAAGTTTTTTTTTTTTTTTATCTATTCACGTATTGTACTATTCATTGTGCTAAAATATTATTGGTTTCAGACACCAGAATTTTGCTGCGCTGTAAATGAAATATTGATTGGAGTCAAAATTCAGTGGATATTTGAGACAAGATCGCACAAGTAAAGTTTGTATTTAATGAGAGCATGGATCCTTGGTGTTACAAGAGGTATAATAGTAGCATCAGGTTGATTTATGCTGATGAGCAGTCCGATTTACAGAGTTGCTATGAACTCTGTCCATATAAAGTTCAGTGGTTGATTAAAAATTGTATAAACCTTATAATAACTTATAAACCTTTAAAGACAGACCTGTTGTGAGCTACAAGGTTGTTAATCGATGACATGCACTTTTTTTGAAGCCATCAGCTTGCGTTGTTTCAGCTTATTTTAAATTATGTTTAAAATCTTCATGGGAAAAATGAATAGGATCCAAGAATCAAGGCTGCTGAAGAAGTGGACAGGGACTGTCAGGATGCTGAAAGCCCTGATTGACCAATCAGAATCAAGTATTTCAGAGAGTCATGCAATAACTATATTAGAGGTTTGTGTGCCAGTGTAATTGATTGTTCTGTGAGATCTGCATTCATTATAAACAAAATAATGTAATAAACAAAAAACATAGTCAGGTCCATTTATGAGGGAGTAGTGGGTGGTTCTTCAAAGGTACTAAAAGAATTGTAAATATTTGATTTTGAACTAATGGTTTATTCTGTGCTTGTGTTGAATTGAACTCCCTTAGTGATCTCTCACACATCTCTCTCATTGTGCATCATTGAATTTTTTTCCCCATAGATGTGTGAGGATTTGTTCAGACAGACGGCAGATAACACTGACCCTGACCTGTCCTTCTCTGTTGAGGTATGTTTGTGTGCTTCTGAGTCATTGTGTGTGTCCATTTACATAGTGTTAAAAAGAACTGTGAGAATTGTTTTGGACATTTCATTGATGCATGGCCTCATAAAGCATGTGAGTTCACATTAAAGGGGTCATATGATGTTGCTAAAAAGAACATTATTTTTTGTATTTGGTGTAATGAAATGTGTTTATGCGTACAACGACACACACAGCGTCTTCACGACATGGCGGTGGCGGCAACAACAACAATACTACAGCGAGAATAAAATTTATGCCTTCTTTCTTTGCGTGAACATTTGGGCGGCGCTATGCAAATCTTCCCACATCGTGACTGATGAAAATGTTACGCCCCTTACCATACTGTGATGATGCCCTGTCAGGCCGGAGCGATGATTCAAAAACATGAAAACCCATTATAAACGAGGCATTTGTTGCATCCAGTGGGGACATAATTATGGATTATAATGACTTGTACTGCATCGCGCCGCGTAAACATAAAACCATGTCTGTGCTACTCTACACTGCTCAAAACTCGCGTTTGAATCATCAGTGGCAAATCCTTTAAATATAAAAAACGCACTTGCAGTCTGTGAGTCAGAACAGCCGGCATTGTAGTCTACTCTCCCAGGATCAGGAAACAGTCCTCCATAAAATGTGCTGCACATATCTGAATATTTGAGTTAAAATTTAAATCGCATCATATGACCCCTTTAAACGGCAAATAAACAATTTCTGGATATAATTTTCTATGTTTTTTAGGTTTCATATATGGAGATTTACTGTGAGCGAGTTCGGGACTTGTTGAACCCAAAAAGCAGAGGGGCCTTGAGGGTCAGAGAGCACCCTATAATGGGCCCTTATGTAGAAGACCTCTCCAAAATGGCGGTTACCAACTACAGTGATATTGCAGATCTCATGGACACTGGCAACAAAGCCAGGTATTATTATACACACAAACAGGACTATGATTCAAGTTAAAATCCTGTTTGTCTGCTAAACAAATAAGCAATTAATCAGATTATATACATGCATATATGTTTTGAACAGTGGAAGAGACAAATGAAACAAAACAAAGATTTAAATATATGCTTTTCATTGTGTGCAGAACAGTTTCAAAATATAAATGTTATTAAAAGTCCAGATAAAAATATAAAACGCAGCACAGATAATGAAAAAAAAAAAATTTCTAATAAAGAAAAAAAATCACTAGCTAAGACCAGAAACGCAAGACCTTTGCATAAACGAAAATATAGGCAACAATGCTGATGAATTGCATGCATGATTTCTTACATTGCTGTGGTAGTATCAAACCTCAGTACTTAAAGTGGTGATAGTTACCTTCAAATAACCAACTGGATGTGTTATTCAGACTATAAACATGTTGACAGGTTACTGACTAACTAACTAGCTTAGTGAGATTCTCTTTAAACACTTGCTCCAATAAGACAGTAATTGACTTTAATTGCACTTGGATGCATTTTAAACTCCATTGATGTATGATTTTGAACTTATGTTATTGTTAAAATTAGTATGACAGTATTTAGATGTGTAATGTGCATTCTTTATGAAGTATGTGACAACATTTATAGTGACATTTATTTGCTTTTTGTCTGTTCTCTATTACTTTAAGGACGGTTGCTGCTACTAATATGAACGAGACCAGCAGTCGCTCACATGCTGTCTTCACCATCCTCTTCACACAGCGTCGACATGATAACATGACCAGCCTGGACACTGAGAAGGTGTGTGTCGGACATTAGAAAACACTTTTTTTTTTTTTGCTGTTCTTTACTGAGTCTGGTTTCTTGTCTTCTGTTCAGGTGAGCAAGATCAGCCTGGTTGATCTGGCAGGAAGTGAGAGAGCAGACTCATCTGGAGCCAAAGGCATGAGGCTGAAGGTCTGTCAGATGTCACATTAGTTCTGAATTAAAGGAATAGTTTACACAAAAACAAAATACTGTCATCATTTAAACACCCTCATCATTGTTGTGAAACCATTTTTCTGAAGGATGTTCATGCTGCTGTTTTTTAAACAGGACATGCACACTTAATAAAAAGTTAAAAGGAACAGCATTAACTTGCAAATAGAAATAATTTGTGACAATATAAATGCCTTTACTGTTACTTTTGATCAATTTTAAGCATCCTTGCACAATAAAAGTATTAATTTAAAAAAGAAAAATCTTATTGGCTTCAAACCTTTGGAGTGGTAGTGTATCATTCAACATTGATAATAATGATGCATTTCTTGAGCAGCAAATCAGCATATTAAAATGATTTACTGTATGTAGGATTACAAAATACACTATATTCAAATTGAAAACAGCTTATTTCAATTGTAATGATATTTTAGAATATTACTGTTTTTACTGTGTTTTATCAAATAACTGCAGAATTATTGAGCATAAGAGACGTTTTTTCAAAACAGTACAAATTTATTTTGACCAGTTGTGTGTGTGTATATATGAGTGGAAGGGAAGTTTTCTGGTGAATCATGGCTTAAATTGGAAACAAGTCATATGTAAGAGTTTTATCATGTTTTTTGGAGCTTGACATCAAGCTACTTGAATTACATTGAAAAGCTATGGACATCCTTTTAAGTAAATTATAACAACTTATTTTTGGTTGTATTAAACCTATTGAGTATTAACAGAAAGTTTAAAAGCATTGTGTTTTTTTAGGAGGGAGCCAATATTAACAAGTCTCTGACAACACTGGGTAAAGTCATCTCAGCACTGGCAGACATGGTAAGAACTTTTTATTTTTGTTCTCTTTAGTTTTTCTGACTCTCCTTTGTTTCTTACTGCTGCTTCGGTTCAGTTCTTTACCTCATTTCTCAACTTTGTCTTCGTCTCTTCACTGTCCTTTAGTGTTTTGTCTCAAATGTCAAGTTCTTTGTGAAGAGTAACAATATGTTTCCACTCCACAGCATGGCACAAAAAAGAGACGCTCTGATTTCATTCCCTACAGGGATTCTGTCCTCACGTGGCTATTGAGAGAAAATCTAGGTATGTCTTGCTGTCTAAAGGCCTATTCACAGACTGAGAGTTGAAACCATACATTCCAACACATCTGCTCACACCAGGGAGGAAAATTAGTCTGACAAGAGAGCATTTTTCATTTAGAGAGACTTTTTTCACTGAAATAAATTCATTGACCAATAAGATGCTTTTTGGGTCACGTGTTGTTAGATCCTGTCAACGCGTCAGGAATGTCCCATTAGAGGATCTGTTTAGTCTGGTATCTAAAACCAGTTCGGTCTGATGCCCAAAACCAGTCAACAAGAAGTTTCTCTGATACGCAACTAGTCATTTAAGTAACTCTTCTATCAGCCCAAGATTGACAGTAAATCTTGAGATGGAGATACTCTTGCTTTCTAACTTACCTGTGAAGACAAACACAGCTAAGCAACATAAGATTAAATGGTAACAAAAAAATAATCTAAAATGAAATGAGTAAATTTTCTGATGCATATTTTTCATGTGGGGTTTCAGTAACATACAAAGATACAGATAGCAGCTTTGTGTGTTCTGAATGTTTTAGATATAAAAATGTAAAACTTAAATAAACGTAAAACTTAAATATTTATAAAAATATAAAAAAATCAGTGTTAAGGAAATTCACGTGTATATAAAGGGATAGTTCATCTAAAATTAATATTATCTTCATTTACACTCACCCTCATGTCATTCTAAACCCATAAGACTTTCATTCATCTTTGAAATAAATGAAGATAAATTCAGTGTAACCTGAAAGATTTTTGTTCCTCCATTGAAAGTCCAAGCAACCAAAGGGTCATGTGACACTGAAGACTGGTGTAACGACGCTGAAAATTCAGCCTTGATCACAGGAATAAATTCATTTTAATAAAAAAAAAAACATTGTTTTAAGTTGTTATCGTAAATAATAATAAATTGTAATGAATGCACTGCAGCCTTTGTGAGCATTAAAAAAAAAAAAAAAAACATTTTAAAAATCTTACTGACACAAACCTTTAAACTGTAGTGTATAAGCAGGTGGCCAAAAATGAGGTCTAACTTTAAATGAGGTTAACTTTAATAATTACATAAGGGAATGTGTTGCATAGTGTACTAGTTGCAATTATTACTTAAATAAGCTTATTTTAATTTTTGTGAATAGACCTGCTGTCTGTTATTCATTTAACTTTTGGTTTTGTTTTTGTTGCAAACAAGTCTCTAACCAATTGTTGTTACTGCTCCACACAGAGTTTAATTGAGTGTTTGTGTTTGAAGGTGGAAACTCTCGCACGGCCATGATTGCTGCTCTGAGCCCAGCAGATATTAATTATGAAGAAATACTCAGTACTCTCAGGTAAAAACACACACGAGAGAACCATAGTTATTTTCTACAACACATTGTCCTGTATGCACTATATAACCAGCATGTGGCCTACTGTAGGTATGCAGACAGAGCTAAGCAGATAAAATGTAATGCTGTCATTAATGAGGATCCAAACGCACGTCTCGTCAGGGAGCTGAAAGAAGAGGTCAACAGACTCAAAGAGCTCCTCCTGTCTCAGGGACTCAGCAACCTCATCACTGCCTCAGGTAAATATACACATACACACGCAAACCTCCTAACAGCCAGGTTGCACCACAAACCCAAACCCAAAAAAAGGGTCTTAAACCTATTTTTAGAGCCTTTGAGATTTTCGCATAGACACTGTGTTAAATTCATTTTCAATGGTGATTCTCATTAAAATCGAGATATGTAATAGATGTGTAATATTATTTAAATCAGCATAAATAAAAAGCTGTACAAATGTAAAAATATACCACACTGTAAGACTTTTTAAAATGTTTTTTAAAGAAGTCTCTTATGCTCTCCAAGGCTACATTTATTCATTAAAAAATTAATATTGTGAAATATTATTGCAATTTAAAATAACTGTTTTCTGCTTGAATATATTTATATTTAATATAATGTAATTTATTCCTGTGATGAAAGCTGAATTTTCAGTTATCATTACTCCAGTCTTCAGTGTCACATGATGCTTCAGAAATCATTCTATGTTGATTTGCTGCTCAAGAAACATTTATTATTATTGTCATTGTTGAAAGCTGTTGTGCTGCTTTATATTTTTGTGTAAACCATGATACATTTTTCAGAATTCTTTGAAAAGAATTTTCAAAAGAACAGCATTTATTCAAAATTTGTGCTGTCAAATGATTAATCGCATCCAAAATAAGTTTTTGTTTACATAATATATGAGTGTGTACTATGTATATATAAATACAAACACATGCATGTACATATTTAAGAAAAATATGTTGTTTATATATTTAATATATTTATATATAATATAATAATATAAATATATATGTATGTGTGTGTATTTATATGTACATAATAAATAAACAGTACACACACATACATTATGTAAACAAAAACTTTTATTTTGGACGTGATTAATCGCGATTAATCATTTGACAGCACTATTCAAAATAGAAACCTTTTGTAAAATTATGAATGTTTTACTGTTACTTTTAATAAGTTTAATGCTTTCTTGCTGGGTTAAGTAAAAACAAAAATCTTACTTACCCAAAACTTATGAATGGTAGTATATTAGGTATTTTTTGCCTTACAGTAATGAGTACTGGGGAGGGAAATCTGATCACATGGCCACAGGATGCACAGAAGTTGACAGACATGGACTAAAAGCCACAAACTCTAAATTTGAATTTGAACTGGAGGCACACCAATTACAATAACAGCCACTTAAACAATAACTGGCACACTCATTTTCTCTCAGGGTCTGAAACAGAATGCCCGTCTTTGGGAGGAGCATCAGGTGAGCTCCATCAGCCCTTGCTCTCATATGTACAGTCTACCTCTGATGCACCAATGGAGGGTGTGACGCCCACTAGTCCCACTGCACACATCAGCAAAGAGGAGGCCGCGGAGAGACTCAAGGTACACATGATATCACATTCTCAGCAGATACTCTCTTCTCAACAACAGCCAAATGTCAGTACAGCAATGTTGGAGAAGCTACTTTCATGATAGAGTTTCTTAGTATTAAAGTAGGTAAAGGTGTTGGAATTTTAGAAGTTTTGCTAACTTCAGCTACTACTACTCTCTAAATGATACCTTTCCGAGGCATGTCAACTAACCCAATGTCAGAGTATCCAAATGCAGAGAGTGCTTCTGACTGATCAGGGGTTCTTTTGTATGTTTGGTATGTAAAATAAAGTAAAGGCAGAGAAAATATTTCTGTCTAGCATTGTCTTTCTGTGTTTCTAACAGGAAACAGAGAAGATAATTGCAGAGTTGAATGAAACATGGGAGGAAAAGCTCAGGAAAACAGATTCAATACGACAAGAGAGGTGAGAACAGGCACAACCCAGTTGTTCCCAGTGTTCAAAATGTTCACACAATTGTAAATTCATTTATGGAATAACCTTACCCTGTGAATGTTACACGTCAATCCATGGAATACAGGTCAACATTGGTTGACAGCCAGCTATCTGCTTGGTGTGTTATGGTTGGTCATCGACCAATATTAATTTTTTGATTGCCGATGCCATTATCTTGCCAGAGAGCAGGGCAGCCAATGGGAAATACAGGGTTTGAAATTAACACGCTGACTCGCCAAATGCAGGTGGAAATTGGCCTTGGCGGGTAACACGTCAACACTAGCCAATTAGGGTGGGTTATGATTCATAGATGATGTTCTGTCACTTTGCATTGCTATCAGAGCCTTTCCCTAAAAGGAGCCTTAAACATTAGTAAAACAAAACATTGACTATTTGAATGAAAGTCTGCTTTCTTGTTTTAGGGTGCATTCACACCAGGAATGTCCACTAGTTCACTTGCTTTGGTCTGGATCAAATACAATGTTGATTTTTTTTGTTTGGTGCAGTTCGCTTTCACACTGCCCTTTTTGCAAGTGAACCAGAAATTGTAAACAAAATCACACGTGTGCTAAGGTCATCCATTCATTGGACAGAAATTCTCAAGCAGGAAAAAACAGAAAGTGCAAAAACAGGCTAATCATGGAGATCTTTCTTAGTGCAATTTGTATTCTTTTACTGATTTGGTGTTATCAGCTAACGCAATATGAATAAACTTATGAGCATCATATAAGACAATGTCATACAATGTTGTAATTATGACTTGCTGAAAATAAAATCTATAGATATAAAATACTTAAAGCATATTACGATGTTAGTTTAAACATTTAACCTAGAAAAAATGTGCGCTGTTAGGCACATATTCAATCGTTTGTGCGGAGAGTGGAAGCTGAAGCGTGCTTCTGGACATCAGTGGAAAAAAATAAAACACGCCGTAATTTTTGCTCATAAAGGTAAGAATAATACATAGTTCGGAACTGTAAAGGGTCTACTTTTATTTGTGTGCACTCACAATATCAAGAAAACGTTGTGCTTTTGTAAAATAAAGAAAACACATAGATGCACTTTCTGCCGTCTCGTTCTTGAACAGGAGCACTTCACAAAAATGAACCGAAACTCAGCGAATATTTTCCTTAAATTCATGATGAATATATCTATAAAAAGCTTTAAATGACTACAAAATGAAATAATTCAAATCCAAAACAAAAACTCTTTCATTATGTAATTCGTAAAGATGCATTTATTTCTAAAGGCGCGTCCAATGAGGAGATGGCGAGTCAGAATTGTCAACTTTATCTTTGCGACACTGACTCCGAAAACATTAGTTTATTAATAAATTATTCAAATATCTCCTTACTATTTCCCCCCGACGCATTCATTGAAAACTCATAATTTGCATGCATTTTTAAGCATTGTGGCTTAAAAACAAGTGATTTAAGCTATTGAAACGCAAACAACAGCGCTATATGAGCGAGCTGTCTGTTTCTGAGCGTGATTTCTACAATTGGTTGGGTCATATTCACACCTTAAACGAACCGTACCAGAGTTGGTTGTTTGGTCCGCACCAGGGTGCGATTACTGTATTCACACCTGCCCAAAAGATCTGCACCAAGGGGGAAAACTAACTTGAGTTTGATTCAGTCGAACCAAACAAGGCAGGTGTGAATATACCCTTAGTAATTTAGTAAGTTTAAGTGAAGGCCAGAAAAGTGCTTGATTATGTTCAACAAACATGTAGAATCACGTGACGCTCATGTGAAATATTTACTGATTTTTATCTTTACTAATTGTTATTGGTTCTTAAGTAAATGTAAAAATAGCTTTTACATTGTTACCAGACTTGAGTACATGCAACCTTCTACGGACACCTTGGCAATTGGATCGCCATTGGCTAGTAATTTTTTTTTGTTTACTCGCCAGACTGTGTGTATATATATGCATGATGCATGATGGGATACACTAAGCCTCAAATACCGCTCCGGAAGTCCGCTCTTGAGTGTGTATTTAGTGTGCGTTAAGTGCACTGCGCTTTGGCTTTTTTAAGACCGATTTACTCGCAATGTGGAGGGTTGACATGTTAATAGTTCTCAATTATGAATGCTTACTTGACTTGATCTTCAATTAAACAAAATCATTTTCAAATGTGAGTAAAATACGTCATGCTTTTGAGGAACGTTTATTTTCATCATCTCTCAATCGTCATTGAATTGCATTGTATTATTGTCCTACATATGGGCCATAAAAGCCTGATGTTTAAAATATATCAACACAGACACAAATGCAAACTTGTGTATAATATATAGTTAACCAACTAATCACTTGTTGGATGACTAATTAACATATCCTGACCCATGTGCGTTACATGTCAGTCAGCTTGTCCTTGTCTAGAATGATCTGCAATATGGGCCAGACTTCATGCTGATGGTCAAAAGTCTGGCTCTGTGAGAGTAATACAGGTGTGAAACCCACACCCACACCATCTCTCTCTCTGTGTGACACATTAGGGAGGCACTGCTGGCTGAGATGGGTGTGTCTGTAAAAGAAGATGGAGGAACAGTGGGTGTCTTCTCTCCCAAAAGAGTGAGTCAAGTCTTATTTGAAGTCATATTTATTTGTATAGTGCTGTTCACAATACATGTTGTCAAAGCAACTTTACAGAAAGTGAAGGTGCGGTCGCCTTTACTGTTGTTTAGCATATTTTCACTGGCGAAATGTAGTCATTTCAATAGGAATTCACGCAATCAGGAATTTTGTGTGAGGATGAAAGATTTCCATAGGGAGATTTCGCATCAGATTTAAGTTAGTCTCGCAAATTTGACTCACTGACCAACAGGAAGCTGCTTAGTTTGAAAGTGTCTTTTGCGTCAGCTGTGCTTCATATTGTTGCACTGTTTACAATAGATAAGACACTTTTTACCCATAAAAATGTTTTGCTTAAATTTTGTTCATGTGACCGCACCTTATGATTTTTACACATAAGAATCTTTCATGCAGATTGTTTTTCCATTCCACTGCGCCACTTTTCCATTGTTTTTCTATGTAAACATGCTAGACAGATGTGTTTGACCGTTGCTCTCGTGTCTTTTGCAGCGTCTTTCACGAGGCACATTGTTCAAGTTGAAGTTCCCATTTTAAAAAACGTCTCAAGACCTTACTTTTTTTTTTCCCATTCCACTGCACGTGTCTCGCATTTTTCAAAACAAAAACGCATTCTGTGTGAATACCCAATACTCACTATCTTAGCACTTTGAGTCTTATTAAGTCTAAAATGCACCAAAACTACGTGTTTAAGCCACATGTGTTTTTTCCTCAGACGCCCCACCTGGTGAATCTGAACGAGGATCCTCTGATGTCAGAGTGTCTGATATATTACATTAAAGATGGAGTCACCCGGTAAGCAGTGAGTTACTAAAGGAGTGGTCAGTTTCTGTGTACATACTGCACTCTGTGTCTCATGGCTGTGTGTGTGTGTGTGTGTGTGCGCATGTGTGTGTGTGCATGTGTTGCAGGGTTGGTCAGGAAGATGTGGATATTCGTCTTAGCGGTCAGTTTATAAAGGAGCTGCATTGCGTCTTTTGCAGTGAAGTCAATGAGAATAATGAAGGTGAGAGCGATCACATGACATTTGTTACATTCACTGATTCACACAAAAGTGACAGTAAAGGCAGTGTTACAAAATATTTCTTTTTCAAATAAATGCTGTTCTTTTGAAAAGCATCAAAGAATCTCAAAAACAATTTATCAAAGTTTCCTAAAAAATATGAAGCAGCACAACTGTTTTCAGCATTGATAATGTTTCTTGAGCAGCACATCAGCATATTAGAATGATTTCTGAAGGATCATGTAACACTGAAGCCTGGAGTAATGATGCTGAAAATTCAGCTTTACATCACAGGAATAAATTGCATTTTTAAATATATTCAAATATAAAACAGTTCTTTTAAACTGTAATAATATTTCACAATATCTGTGTTTTTACTGTATTTTCAATCAAATAAATGCAGCTTTGGTCAGCATACGAGACTTCTTTCAAAAAGATTTTAAAAAATCTTGCCGGCCACAAACATTTGAATGTTAGTGTAGGGCTACATGTATATAAAATATTACATAAATTTCCATGTTCGAAATTTATGTCATATATGTAGACCTGTAGTTAAAAAAGTTTTAAAATTTAAAAGACAGTGTATTGCTACATCAACAAATGATATTTTCAATGTTTTCAATGCATATAATCACTTCTCAGAACCGTGTGTGTGTGTGTGTGTCTGTCTGCAGTGGTAGTGACTTTGGAGCCATTAGTTGGAGCAGAAACATATGTCAATGGAAAACGAATCACTGATGGTGTTGTGCTAAAACAAGGTGACTTTTTTCAGTTCAGTTCTACTGTTTTTATTTCCGTGTTTCAGAATGGAAAACTAGTGTATTGTTTACTGCAGTACATACTGCCTAGTCTTTTTTTAAATAAATGCTGTTATACAAGACTTAAAATGCAAATGCATTTATTTGAAAATCATCTGGATATTCTATTTCTTTGTATTCTACACAGAAAATGTTCACTCATTTCTGTGTGCTGCAGAAATAGTAGTCTTGGTAGCATGTCATTCTGAACATATCCTTATTGTCTTATCTTCAAACATACTAGTTCCTGTAAACACTTTGATTCTCCTTTGGCCTGTGATTGTGTAGGTAACCGTATAGTGATGGGGAAGAACCATGTGTTTAGGTTTAACCACCCTGAGCAGGCCCGCTTAGAGAGAGAGCGCAGTGCCACACAGGAGCAGCAGGGGGAGCCGGTGGACTGGAGCTACGCACAGAAAGAACTGCTGGAGAAACAAGGCATTGACATAAAGCAGGAGATGGAGAAGAGGTGAAAACCCATTTTAAATTAATCTTCCTCTGTGTATGGGTCTGTGCTCAGATCTGAATCTTGAAAAATGTAAAAATGTATCTGAAATGAATACTGAAATGCTGGTTTTTGGAATGAGGTTGCTGGTGATCTACCAGCCATGACCAGATTGCCCATTATAGTCTACAGGTCAGCCTCAGCAAAACCAGCTGGTAGTCCATCTGATCAACCTTCCAGATCTGCTTGGATCAGCAAGAAACCATTTTTTCCTCCAGCAGGCTTCGCCTTGCTAATGTTTTCTTTCTCTTTAAACCTTCTCTCTTAGACTGCAGGATCTGGAGAGTCAGTACCGCAAAGAGAAGGAGGAGGCCGACCAGATACTGGAACAGCAGAGACTGGTAAGAAAAGACGCTGTTTAAAAAAAAAACAGTAAGGCTCCTCACACTTTTGTCCAATTCAGGAAGTCACAAATTGATTCCAAAACAATTCCATCTAATTTTTAATTAAACTAATTACTCTTGCCAAGCAAATACAAAACACTGTTACTGCGCATGTTGTCATAACCTTGTCTATGCTCTGTTTTGTAATGCAAATTTTAGAAAACAAAAGCCAAATATTTTTTATGTATTTTTTTTTTCAACAAGGTTATGAGCATTTATGACAGTGTTATATATAATTTAGTGAAAGAAACCGGGTTCTTACGGTCATTGAAATGAATACTACATTGAGCCTTATTCCAAACTTAGGCTGTTTATCCATAAGTATAATTGTTTAAATCTCCTAATTCCAAGGTTTGGTGCCTGACGTACAAATTCTCCTGCAGAAAACATGAATGACTGGAAAAGTCATGTAAATTAATTAGTCAGAAAGTATGGAATCCCTGAGGCAAAGGAAATCTGATAGTTTGTGAAATGTAGTTCTCATTCTTGGTGTCAAAAACTTGCTTGTTTAATTAGTTTTGTAGATGGAATGGTTTAGAATTGTTTGTACAACATTGTACATTATACATTTTCTTTGTTTTAATGTAAACATTTCATAATACTGCAAAATACTTAAATTCCAGGACGTAGCTTGGCATCATGCTAACATCAAACTCTATCGTGAGTTGAGTCTCCCGTGTGCTTTGTGTTAGGAGTATTTGTTATGTGGTTTGCAGATTGCTGCCTATGTACTGTAGAGTGCTCCAAATCAGTCCGTTTAGAGCTCCCATGATAGTTAGGACGTTGTTGCCATAGAAGCTACAGCAAAGGCAGCTCACTAGGCTTTAGAACCAAGCTAATGTGTCTTTCTGTCTCTCTATGTGTAGTATGCAGACTCAGACAGCGGTGATGACTCAGATAAACGGTCCTGTGAGGAGAGCTGGAGACTCATCTCTTCTCTCAGAGAGAAATTGCCAGCCAACAAGGTCAGTCACACACACATACATCACTGCAACACCAATAGATTGATACTGAACTCCTTTGACTCACACTTATTTATGTGTTGTTGTTGTTTTTTTTTTTCTAAAGTTTTGCTAATGTGTCTGCACTTTTAGCCCAAGGTAGATATTAGTGGTCAACCAATGGTTTATTTTTTTTGCTCGACATAAAGCCAATATATAGATATCACACTATTTAATTTAAAGATAGTAAAAACATGTTTAATAGTTGCTGAAATTGAATTTATTTTACATAATATTTACTAAATTATATAATTTGAAAATGTGTAAATATGAAAAAATAATTTGAACTTGATAAAAAAAATAAATCTGTAAAATAGAGATTTAGGTGGCAACTTATTGATTCTTTAATTCCATTATAGTATTTTTCACACAAAAAATATTTTAAAAAATAAATAGACAAGGCAGCTCTAATTTTACATATAGCACACAGTGAATATGACATTAATATGAAATTAATGTCATTAATACGACACAGCAGCCCAGTTTGAAATCAAGAATTTTGTATTCAATTTACCCAGACTGAGTTCAGTTGTTTTTATGCAGTCTACAAATGCACACTTCAGAAGATATCGGAGCTGAATTCAACAATGTTTGCAAGCTTATTGAAATTAAACTTTTATTAGATATACAAAGACTTGTTTAAATGAAACGCATATTTACTGAATGCTACCAGTAGATGAGAAAGTATTCTTGTGTTTGCCTTTCTGTTACTAATAACTGAAAAGAAAATGCTATAATACTTTTTTTGTGTACCCTTTAATAACTTTGTTTACAAGTTTTGTGTAATAATTTATTAGTTGGAACTATTAAACAAAGACAGTAATATAATAAAGACTAAGAACAGGAGCTCTGTGTACTCAGGCACAGAGTTTTTCAGCGCTGTCAAAAAAAAAAGTTCAGCTTCCGACATATTGGCCAAACAGAAAAAAATGCTGGCCAATGGCGATAAATACAAAATGCTAAATATTGGCCAGTATATCAGCCTTGGCAATATATCGGTCGACCACTAGTAGACATGCACTCTAGATTGATGTCTTTGATGGTTTCATTGCATCTCGCTATAATTTTAAAAGATAATAATAATATAATCTTACTCCTTACTCCTGCAGTCTTAAAATTGATTTTAAAGAGTCATCTTGAGACGCCTGCATTCTGTTCCGTTCTTTTTCACTTCATGTAGCTGTTTCTGAGCTGTTAATTTCTGACAAGAAGTAACTCTTCTGTTCTTGCTGATTGTTTGCAGATGCAGTCTATCGTGAAAAAGTGTGGTTTGCCCAGCAGTGGGAAGAGAAGGGAGCCGCTGCGTGTTTATCAGATCCCCCAGCGCCGCCGCATACCTGCCACCCAGGAGTCCAAACACAGACTCAGCTTGGAAGAGCTTCGCACACAGGCTGTTAAAGAGATCTGCTATGAGGTGCCTCATTGTGTTCAAGAGTAACTTTAAAGCTAAAATGCGAAATACAGGCACTGATTTAATTCATGTCAGAGTAGATTTAGCCTCAAAAGAGCTGCCCACTGTCTGGCTAATGCATTTTATACACAAAAACGGCAAAAGTTGGCAAACACCAGTTTGATTGGCTAGTCACCGATCATGCAATATATTAATGTCTAGCTTGTATGAGCAGTATTTTACATTAACAGGAGTATATCTTTATATTTCTCCTCTTAAGGTGGCGCTTGGAGACTTTAGACACACGCGACAAGAGATTGAGGCCTTGGCTATTGTCAGGATGAAGGAGCTTTGCCGCACATATGGCCAAAAAGACCCTCAGGAGAGAGAAAGCTGGAAAAGTGTGGCGAAGGACGTATGTGAGACTGTGGGCATCGGAGAAGAGGAGGGAGACAGGGAGGAAAGAACAACAGCAGCTGGAGGAGGAGGGAATGAGGGAGGAAAGACAGATATGGGAGAGCTCAAAGCTCATATTGACAAGCTGACTGATATACTGCAGGAAGTCAAGTTGCAGAATAATATGAAGGATGAGGAGATCCGATCACTAAGGGATCGCATGGTGAAGATGGAGAAGATATTCCCAGTCGAAGTTCAGGTATCACTCGTATATCTAGAAACCGCCACAAATACACACTTCTCCCCAGTCCATTTACTAGCAGTTTGATGCATGTTGCAAGTTTCTAAAATATAAATGTTTATTTTGCAAGTTTATTTTTTCAAATGTAATATTTCAAGTATTTGTTTTATTACAATTATTTATTTTAATTATTCAGTTAATTGAGGTTCATTTAAGAAAAAGCTGTAAAGGTTTTTTGTTTAAGAAACCGTATAAATTTAATAATACATGACCGTTTTCCACCTTCTGATTGAAACTTCATTTTAGGTGCATTTACCTTTAGGATTTTAGTGTATACACTCAATATTATGATGGCCTGGCATCTTTGCATGGGAAATGATCATGGTCCCTTCGATCATGCTTGTGACACTGTTTTCAAAACTCAAGAATTCTTTCAAAAAGATGTAGTCTATACGATTAAACATGAATGTCACAAATATAAGTAGAGAGGATTAAAGTTAGATCTCAGTCTGACATTATGACTTACACATCAGATTTAGTTCACAAACCGCTTGTATGGCCTCAATATGGTTGTCCTTACAATAAACTATATTAAAATTTAACATTACTTTAGCGTTGACTTAACTTCAAATACTCCACACACTCAGGCTCTGGAGATCATATTTCTCGTTGTCATTGGCTCATTTGGACTCAGATATGACTAATTCAGTGAATTGTTAATTGGAGACTCCCTCTGACTGTATCACTGAATCAGCGAGTTGGCTTTTTGTTTGAATTTGCCAAACTGATTTTGTTTGATTTGTGAACTGATTCAACCGTTCCATCGAAAAAGCTGATTGGTGACTGAATCACTCTCTTTTATGAAATTACATGTTTTTTATGAAACATAATGGAGTAAAAAGTAAGATTTTATGCTTTGGAATGTAGTAAAGTAAAAGGTTCCCAATACTCTGGTAAAGTACATGTACTTGAAAATGAAGTACAGTAACAAAGTAAAAATACTGTTAACACTTTATTTTGAGGTAGTTACTTGTTATGTGTACTTACTTATACTTAATAACATAATTACAAGCAACTAACCCTTAACCATGTAGTAAGCAGGGTTATTACAGTTAACTAAAACTAATCATACGTATAAAAAAAATTGTTGAAATAAAATAAATAAATTTAATAAACTATATTGACATAAAACAACACAAACCAATAATGAGGACAAAAATACACAAAAAAAATACTAAAACATTAACTTTAAAATTAAAATCAAAACCAAAGATATTAAAATAAACTAATTCAAAAGATTAGCAAAAACTATAATAATATCTCAATGATACATAAAACTAGTAGTAAGTATGTGTGGTTAATTAATATTACTCAGTACTTATTTGTGTTATTATATTGTGACAACGTCACCTTAAAATAAAGTGTAGCCATACTATACTTTGTGTACCTTTTAAGCTATTGTAAAGATTTTCATGGTGTTTTTATTTCAGGGAGACAGTGATAACATTGGGTTGGATGGGGCCAGAGGCGACGACCCGCCAGCACAAGTCAACAGACGCGATGAGGATTCTGGGTACCGGCGGGGTCGCCATCGCTGGCAGTACCCGGACAAATACCATGACCCTAAACGTCGCAAAGGAGCCAGCAATCAGCCAAACAGTACCCTCTACCCAGCGCCTCCCTCAGGACACTCTCAGAACAACCCATTCAGTACGGCATCGCCTCGATTCTCAAATCCATCTTTCATTTCTGAAATCCCTCGCAACCCCTATGGTCCTTTCTTGCCAGGCACTGGGCGCTTCTTGCCACCTCAAGAGAGGAAGCTACAGTTCCCCTTTAAGAATAATCCCCAACACCGAGGCTTCATCTGGGGCCCGTCATCAGGGGGTGAAGGTGGAATGGACACATCCGCTCAGTCCAATACTGATATGGTTCATACTTTCCAATCATCTCCCTCACCAAGCAAGGGCCAGTGGCCAAACAATCATCACCAACAGCGGCGCAATCACGGTAACAGAGGCTACGGCAACTGGGGAAACAGGCAACGATCCAGAAACAGGGGACGGAATCCATTCGATGGATATTTAACCAACGAACAGGCCGGAAATATTGACCGTAAAGATGGTGGATTGGTCCAAGGGCAGCACAAGCAGGGTAGAGCGCGTTACACCTGGTACAATCCCAATTTTACTTCAGACCAGTCTGTTGGAGACGGATTCCAACATAATTACAACCAAAGCAGACAAGGTGTCTACAAACACCCCAACTTTCACTACCATCACCTTCAAAAACAGGACAACCCTTCAGAGATGATCCAACATGGGTCTGAAGGCAATCCCAATCCACCATCCATCCCAGATTGCAATAGCACCCCCATGGAGACCTGATTTCTTCTGTGGAGAGTATGGTCATGTACATGGGAGCCATAACACTCTGATTTTTCTTGTGTGTTCTTGGATGGGACTCCTAGAAACTTTGAACCCTCAGATATATATGGTGTTTTGGTTTGTTGTGGAAGGGTTTTGAGTGCTGCAACTGAGAACGGTTTTTAAGAGAAACTCCTTAGTTCAATAACACCATTCTGTTCGAAATAAGACAGAACATTTTATGCATCTGAATTTTAATGTACATAATTGCAGTTTCATACCTGCACCTACAGTGCTTTATGAGTGATGTTTTTATGTGCACACATATCTGTCATTCAGATGTATATATATCTATAAGTAGGTTATAAATTGAAAGGGTATGTATTTGCAAGAGAATGGAGCTCCTTTTAACGCACAGTGCACTGCAATGTTGACGTTATGGCCTGAGAAGTGTATGGCCTATGAAACTATTTAGCGATTTTTGTTGGATTTCTGATGATTTTACATTGTGCCTGCTGAAAAGCCAAAGAATTTCAATTTAGTAGCCCTCAGGCTTATAACTGCTTTGGATGCAATTTGTATAGTTGAAATTTTTCTCCTTTTTTTATCTTGCCACTCATGTTCTTTTATTCCTGCATCCTGAGGGGCATGTGTTTCATAAATTGTGTTGCTTAGGCTTAAAAAAAAGAAATGGGATACATAATCCTAAAAACATTTAAAAGGGACAAAGGGATAGTTCACACAAAAATGAAAATTACCCCATGATTTACTCAAGCCATCCTATGTGTAAATGACTTTCTTCTTTCAGACAGATACATTCTGAGTTATATTAAAAATGGTCCTGGCTCTTCCAAGCTAAAGGTCTGCATTACCGAAACTCTCCGCAGGAACCGACCAGGTTTCTTGCGACGCGGGATTAAATTTCCGAATTTTGTATTTTGACAAGACGAATAAAAATAACAAGTATGCTAGGCTACAATTTTTGTACAACCTTTCTCTCTCCGACACTTTCCTATTGTGTTGACAGCAAAATGTTAAACGAATTATATCTTGACAAGACGAATAAAAATAAGAAATAAAATTTTTGTACAACCTACATTTTTATTTTCTCTGCGACACTTTTTCCTACTGTGTTGACAGCAAAATGTTAAAGGAATTTTGTGTCTTGACAAGACGAAATAAATAACAAATACAATTTTGTGCAGACTACACTTTTATTTGTTAGCCTATCTCTTTTTTAAGTTGAAGTTAAAATGCTCCGTCATTTTTGATTGTAAATATAAGAGTAATACATAATTTAAAGGGATAGTTCACCCAAAAATGAAAATGTTATGTTTATCTGCTTACCCCCAGGGTATCCAAGATGTAGGTGACTTTGTTTCTTCAGTAGAACACAAACAAAGATTTTTAACTCGAACCGTTGCAGTCTGTCAGTTTTATAATGGAAGTGCGATACATTTGTGTAAAGACATGAAACGATCGGTCTGTGCAAGAAACTGAACAGTATTTATATCGTTTTTTTACCTCTGATGCACTGCAATGTCTGAACTGTCCTGAGCGCGTCCTAGACAGCTGGCGCGTGACGCATCTTCTTCTTCTTGCTTTACGGCGGATCGCAGACTTATAAGTGCATAACCGCCACCTATCTCTCAAATTGATCATTGACACTCTATCTACGATCTCAATTAGGGGTGTCAAAAGTCACCTACATCTTGGATGCCTTGGGGGTAAGGAGATAAACATCAAATTTTCATTTTTGGGTGAACTATCCCTTTAAGTAGCGGAAATTTAAATGTGAGATTCTGGAAATGAGATCTAAATATGTATGCATTTATATGTACGATGCATTTGTGTAAGAAGAATATCCATATTTAAAACTATATGAACTGTAATCTCTAGCTTCTGCTAACTGTCATATGCACGTTCACTAGAGTGGCGCTCCAGCGAATGACGAAACGTAAGCTCCGGTGAGAATATGCTAGTCTCGTGAGAACCAAGTTTCGTTTACAGCAAGGGAAAACCAGTCTCCTCTTGGCTTATTTCGAAATCCTCAAACGTTTTCATTACAGTACATCCATCATCTGCGCGTACAACAGTTAGTGGAAACTAGAGATTACAGTTTATAAGGTTTTAAATATGGATATTCGCATCAGGAGGTCTTTATTGTGGAGTATTTTTATAACAAATGGGCGCAGTTTTTTTGGGCTTCAAAATCTTAAACCCCATTCACTGCCATTATAAAGCTTGGAAGAGCCAGGACATTTTTGAATATAACTCCGACTGTATTCATCTGAAAGAAGAAAATCATATACACCTAGGATGGCTTGAGAGTGAGTAAATCATGGGGTCATTTTCATTTTTGGGTGAACTATCCCTAAGTGCGAATTGAAAGTGCTCTGTGACACTACCCAATCCTGCTCTGCTATAGACCCTAGTCACGGCCATATTTAAAGGGGTCATATGATGCTGCTAAAAAGAACATTATTTTGTGTATTTGGTGTAATGAAATGTGTTTATGCGGTTTAAGGTTCAAAAAACACATTATTTTCCACATACTGTACATTATTGTTTCTCCTCTATGCCCCGCCTTTCTGAAACGCGTCGATTTTTACAAAACTAATCGGTCTGAAAAGCGAGGTGTGCTCTGATTAACCAACTATCCAGTGCGTTGTGATTGGCCGAACACCTCAAGCGTGTGACGGAAATGTTACACCCCTTACCATACTGTGATGCCGCGTGGTTGACTCTTAACTTTTATAAAGAATATCTCTTTGGATTTGAGACTTTAGTCTTTGCAACTTTACAGATCTTCTTTATGCACCAAGAGCTTGTAACACTCCAAAGAGAAAGGAAAAATTAAAATCGCATCATATGACCCCTTTAATGTTTTGCAGGAATGAAAATGAGGCTGAGAGGGAAGTACAGGATCGTACTGTTTAACAGCATTCCATTAGTTCAGCTGTGACAAAACATCTTTCCAAAAGACTTTCAATACAGTTTTAGTTCTGAGTTTTGAAAGTGTCCTGATCTAGGACTTTTATACAATGCGTGTGAAGACTGTAAGTCTGTCCCTCACAGCTTCTTTGTCATTCATGTTACATTTATTATGGTGTCTGTCCTGATTAAGGTCTACTATTAGACAGTTTTTGATTGCAGAATAAATCATGATTGACAGCTGTTTAATTTTTGTGCCACATTTCGATTAATTCTAGACAATTATGACGTCTTGCTGGATTCTTGTTGTGTTGCACCTGGTTAGGATGTGCTGTTATTCCCATTTTGACCACTTGTATGGGGGGGGGAGTCTTATGGTTTGCGTTTGACCCAACCAAATATACTGAAATAAAAGTTAAATTCTCCATCTTCTTTGGAATTAGGCAGTGTTGTTTTAGTGTAGTTTTTATTCATATTTTAAAATAGTTTATATATATTTATTAGACGTTTTTAGTAATTATGTGCTTTTTCTTTTTAATTTTAATTTTATTTGTTATTTTTTATTAATATATGTGGTTCAGGTCAGGCATGTTGGCTGGCCAATCAAGCAGGGGCGTAGCCATCATTTCAGAAGTGAGGGGGACAGAAATGTATATATATAAACATTACAATATAAAATTTCTGTAATCTATATAACCTACCAGTCAACAGTTTTTGAACAGTAAGATTTTTAATGTTTTTAAGAAGTCTCTTCTGTTCACCAAGCCTGCATTTATTTGATCCAAAGTACAGCAAAAGCAGTAATGTTGTGAAATATTTTTACTATTTAAAATAACTGCTTTCTATTTGAATATATTTTAAAATGATTGCTGTGATCAAAGCTGTGTTTTCAGCATCATTACTCCAGTCTTCAGTGTCACATGATC